CCGCTCCCACCCTCCATCCCCACCCCACACCTCTACACACCGTCACCCCACAGCCCACCCCACCTCCCACCGTCCTCTCCGCTCCACCTCACACCCTCCCGCCCCTTCCACCCTCACCCAAAAGAGACAAATCACAAACCGTAGTCTTCAAGCTTCTTTGTTAACCTAGTCTCTAGCCCAAAGCCCCAGTTTGTAAGTGTGTGCTGCGGCCCCTTTCCCTTTCCCATTGTTTCACGTACAAAAAAAGGCTGGTCTACGCTGTGGTCCGGCCACTTCTCGTTCCACCGAAAAGGACACACCTTGTTGTTAATCTATTCTCTGGCCCCTTTATGGAAATGGAAAAAGCCCCACGTGGTTAGTGTATGGCCCCTTCATGTTTCGGCAAAAAATGGCACGCCATGTTTTAAAGCTATTCTCTGGCCCCTTCTCTGTCTTCTTCCCACAAAAGACAAGGAGACAAATCGCAAGCCTTGGTCCCTAAGATCGTTGGTTGCAGTTCTTCTCCATGAAAGAAGGGACGCCAACCCAAAACGATAGGGACCAGGGCCTGCGATTTGTCTCTTTACGTTTGTGGATTTTTCTTGATAATCATTGCCAGAAACGATGGAGGGATGAGGGCGCACTCCTCGCAATTGAAAACTCTTCTGAGCACCACAACCCAAAGAGACAAATCGCAAATCCTAGGCTTTAGCATTTTGGATTCAACGTCTCCCCCAAAGAGACAAACCTTTTTGGTATAAGTTCTTTCCCATGGAGAATGAATAGGACGTCAAGCCAAGAATCTTGCAGACCAGGGCTTGCGATTTGTCCCTTTGGAGGAGCACTTGGACGAAAAAAGCAAAGGATTCGGGCTTGCGAGGTGTCTCTTCGAAGAACCCAACCAGAGCAGCGGGGCACAAGGAGAGCGGGACACTCCTTGAGATTGAAGGTCTTCCAAAGCTTTACCACCAGGAAAAGGGACACTCCTTGCGATTCATTCTTTTTCCAGAGCATCATCACCACAAAAGATGAGGGAACAAGTAGATAATGCGTTGAGTTCTGGTGTCGTCTTGCAGGGATGAGATATGGCTCTGTGAGAGATATGTCGAATCTATGCGGCCTGCCCGAAGACTTGGTTTGACAAAGTCGAAAAATTGTGTGTGTTCTGGCTGTGACGGTTGTTGTGGAAAGAACTTTGAATCTGTAGCCAACCAACACCGCGCTGTGGTACCCGTTGACGTCTGACTATGCCCAGGTTAAACCTGACCTTGAGTACATTACTCAGGAACAAAAGCTACTTTTGTCTGTCGCGTGATGCAATGTGTGCCATAGAAGTTTTTGGTTTTTGCGGTTGTAAGACTGTAAGTATGATGCACAAATGGGTCTGCAAATCCAGGCCACACAGCAACTTGCTTTCCAGATATATGTACATCTATATTGGCTGTTTATTGTCGTTTATTCCTATTTACTTGTCGATTTGTGTATATATATATATACATACCTACATATGCTGTATATATATATATATATATATGTGGCAAGGACGTTTATGTATTCTTTGACGGGCTCCTTTGCTTACACTATATGAAACTACTACAGAAACGTAAATGGGGTGGAGAGTTGGTTTAAGGTTGAGGCTACAGTTTTTGCTTGTTGTGGTATGTACTATACCTCTCACTTAAAAAGGCCTCGATTGCAACACTACACCAACGACTGTGAGATAACTCTTCAGAAATCATTCGGCATCTCGACGGTGAGGATGCCGCTGTCGCTAACAAGAACAGGCTGCAGTGATCCAACTCAGACAAGAGGGAAGATGTCTGATAAATGGGGCCTCTAGCAGGCCGTCAATTAGCACAGACGCACTAGCTGTTTAACCTATAGCAGGGTTTAAGGGTTCCGACCTCGTTGCGAGCTTTGTGACCACCCCAGTCTGGATCCCTTTCAGCACTCACTCAGGCGTCACTTGGACATGCTCACCATGTGCCCTACCACCATGGCTCGACTTGAGAATCGATGGATGTACAAACTCTTCACCAAGCAAATCCGGAGATTCATTCTGACAGTGCGCCGAGACAGGAGCAGGCAGTTGATTTTCGGGTGTCGGTTTTTTTGGGGTCTGGGTGTTGGTCAGCGTCCAAGCCGGGCCGGGCCGGGTGGTAGCTTAGGGTCAGCACAACCGAACCGGGAAGCTGGGTCAAGAGGCGCCTGGCAAAGCCTCGACATACAGCCCAACATGACTGATCACAAATGCTGGACAATTCGAACTGTGACGTTTCGGTACAGGTACTCTAGCAGTACAGTGGCCAGCTCTCAAACCACCAACGCCCACTATACCATCGGAAGTTTGCGGTGGCAAACCACGGCTACGACGACAACGCTTGAGCATCACTAGCATTCCGACACCACACTTTTGTTTGTGAGGTTTGGTAACCGATACAAGCGCTGGGCTTAAGTCGACCCAGGTTGTGTGAAGTCGGCCCTCCCCAAGCTCACGCCCAGATTCGTGCGAAGTCGACCCATCCGCAAAAAGTCGACCCACAGACTGGGATCCGCAACTGCGCGCCGGTTTTAAACGAGACAGCCCGACATGTCAAATCTGCGCGTGGCACGAGACTCTTCGCACAAAGTGAAGCAAACGTGCACTGAAACAAACGAAAACTGCAAGTGCACGCCCCGTTCTAGTGGGAGCTATCCAAGCCTCGAAACGAGCGGAAACTGCATGTACACGCCGGGTTTCACGGAGCTTTGTCTGATCCAGCTACATGTTCTTACGAGCTTGTATGCGCTATGCCCATGTGCACGCCCACGCGAGACGACTTTACACAAGATGGGGCGTTTTAAGCCTACTACTAGTAGGTTGTTGGCTCACCCTCACACGAGCTTCGCCGTTCGGACAGTAGTCCACGTTGAACACGATTGACGGTTGCAATGCTCAATTGACAGCTTCACTTGCAGGCACGGCACTACAGACACCTTTTGCTGGCAATCACTCAGCTGCTGGTCTGTGCAAGCGGGAGTCGCTCTATGGCTCCAGGATACGTAGCGAAACAAACGATGTCAGCTAGCTAGCTGTTAAATCTTGAGCCACGATGTTGCGTATACACGGGGCACCGTAAGAAGAGAAGGTCACATCAACGATCTGCGAAGCAGCCTCCTTGATGCACTGTACACTGTACACAAGGTTCGGCAAACGATCCCATGGTACTGACCAAGTGCTCATAGCTCTTAGTGCGGTGACCAACGAGTTGGATTAGGCTTCGACATGCGTTCGCACGTTGTAGCATTGTGGCAGGCAGATCCAGGGGCCTTGAGAACAACTTCCAGCATTTCGCTAGCCACTGCAGGCCGTCAGAAAACCGCGAACAACGGCCATCGTACGTTACATCGCGAAAACACCTCCGATGTTTTCCTTAGCGCATGGTCTTCGATGTTTCCTGAGCTTTCGATTGCTAGCTAGAACACACTGTCGTAACTGTTCCTCGTCATGAGTGCAAGCATTCATATTATTGTTCTTCTGTCCGAATTCGCCATCAATTTCTAGGCTCCGGCTGGTTCCTGACGGTTGTGATTTCAGGGCCAAGTAGCAGCCGCGAAGCCGGCCAGCTACTCCGCAACCCTCGTCCAACCCGTTGCCGCGTAATCCTTGCTGACGGCCAATGTCTTGCTCTGGCTCACCTACCATCGTTCGATGTCGCGGCAGAAGCCCGAAGTCAAGACATCTCATGGAACTTCTGTGGCGCAAAATACTCGAAACAGCGCAAGCGGGAGCTCACAGGCTACCAACTGAACAAGAAGTGGCAACGATTTACACGTGGGACGTTGGACAGGCACACCCACATGCCGGAGCTTGATCATGCCCGTGCAAGTGTTCGTGGCACGCACAAGTGCAAGCAATTCTTGCAAAAGGGTGCAACGCAACGAGCAACACGGGAAGGCACCGGCTTTGCAACTGCAAGCCGAAACGTAGAATCAGTTGGCCACTTCAATTCAGAACACACACAGAACTGCACAACAGCTTGACTCATGAGATACGTGCTCTCTAGAACAGCTCAACCATTGCCCATGCAGCCTGCACACATCCGAGCCTGCCAGACTCTCGACAGCAACGTGATGACGATCACATCACCCGCGGCCTGGCCGCGTGACAGGACGAAGCATATATTAGTATTATAATGTCTTGCGCGAGGCATGCACCAACTGTAACTTCTGCCCAACCCGAAGCTCTACAGCTCCTGGAGTCCTCGCTGCCGGGGCTGAGCAATCGAATCTAACGCAGGCAGATCCCATGTCTTCTAGAAGCCCTTGCACTTATTTCTCGCACTTCGCAATGCCAATACCATGTAGGGTAGCTTTCCGCGAACCCCAGGCGCAGCTTTCTGCAAACGCCGGTTTCCCCTTTTGGTCAGAGGGCCGGCAATCAAAGATAACTCACGAGGTGCACTTTGGCCGGACTCCCGCTCTGCGCAGGGAGTCCTGGCGCTTCAGCGTCAGCGGCGTGCGCTTTCTGTTGATAACGGAGCTGGGCTTTTTCATCGGGGGCTTGCGAACATTGCGAACCAGACGCACTTCTTCTTCTCGCTTTTCGTGCAAAGGCACTTTCGCTTTGCACGGCTTCTTGACGTCGGCGAGCTCGCTGCACCAGGATTCCCATTCTGCGCGGCTCCAGATCGTGGAGGACGTGGACCTGGCCAATAACTCTGCTTGAGGCACTTGTCGAGTGAGTCGAGTGGTTGGCCAGTAGAGCGCGTTATTGTGGACGATGTTTTTGGCCAGGTGCATGATGGACAGCTTCAGTTTTAGTGTGGATTGGTGCATCTTTTGCGTCTCCCGAAACCATGCATTGATCTCGTGGTGGAGCGATTCGTTTGAGGTTGTGCCCGACGGCAAAAGAGCCACTCGCGACAGCTTGAGCATGTGTCGCATGCGACAGTTGTTCAGGTACCATTCTGCCCTCGAGTGATCGCCGGCGGAGAAGAGAAGCTGGTAAAGCTTTCTGTTCGGCCCAGGCGCTGTCTTGTTTAGCTCGTCGCGATGCACTGATGACTGATGCGATAGCGGCAAGCAAGGGCTTTGGCGGCTTTGATCCACTCCAATCGCAAGTAGAAGCGCTTGTCCACCTCCAGCGAGTTGAGGATCTTCGCGGCGTCTGCTTTGCGCATTGACCGGTCCTCGATCTGGTTTCGAACCCTTCTTTCTTCCACTGTCAAAGGTCTTGAGTTGGCACCAGTGTGCACAAGCCCCCAGGATCTCGCATCTGCAGAGAGATCAACTGCAGAAAGCTTTTGTAAGACAGCCCGAAGAGCTTTGGAGCCTGGCGTCCTTTTCCTGCTGGAGGCGTACTCGAATGTCATCGCCAGATGAGTGGGGTCCAGCATCATGACCTGCAGATTTGGGCACACTGTCCGCAGCGCCTGCCAGTACTTGTACGAAGGATTGTCCACGCTGACGAATTGGACATGTGCCAAGGCGGCGGCGGACAAGTTCGCGGTCAGGCTTTTGACCACCTGCTCGCTGTCGTCGCCAGCAACGGTGTCCATGAGGAGCACGGCGTTGGTGCGTCCTCGGCATGTCAGCACCTCGGAAGCAGAATGTTTAACATGTCGCCTCTTCATGGGTTCAGCAATTGAAAGATAATCTTGAATCTTGCGCTTTAATGGACTCTTCCAAGAAACTCTGGTCAACGCCATTTCGCCTGCAAACACAGCAATGTCCTTCAGCTTCTTGCTTGCACGCGGGTGCACCTGTCCCAGGATTGGCAAACAGCATCGAAGAGTTGCATCGATGCTGATTGCCTGCATCTCTTCATGGTCCAGGAGTTCCTTTGCAAGCTGCGCAGAGATGCCTGTCACTTTTCCAGAGGAGAAAACGTCCTCAATGAGCGGCCACCAATGTCTGGAGTGGCGTGGCAGAAGACTGGAAACCTCCCCTGGGAAGCGCGCGGTCATGCGCGCGTGCAAAGCATAAACCTCAGTGCGACAGCCGGCAGCTTCATGCTCTATAGAGTGTTGACTGCTTCAGACTATCCAAATCTTTCATGAACTAGAAAGCCGGGGCACCTTTGCATCGCATGTAAGAATATCCTGGAACAACATTTGTGCGAACTCATGCGTGTAGTACATGTTGCGCACTCGCCTCAACGAAGGATTGAAAACTGTTTCCGCGTTCCAGTATTGTGGTCCGTGTCCTGTAAGGACGAGCCGAATGTGCCTGTCGATGTTCATATCTTTCGAAGACAAAGGCGGCGAAACAGTGGACCGCAACATTGCTGCGCTTCTCTTCAATAAATTTGGTTGGCGAGTGCGACGTCGGCATTGGTCGCAGTCATGCAGCGCAATAGTGACTTTCAGCTGCTTAGTTCCGCTTGGCACATATTGCTTGCCCTGCACGTGGTGCTTTTGCATGTGCTGCAGAACTCTGCTCTTGGATTGCTGTGTCGGCCAGGACCGAAAAGGGCACAAGGGACATCTGAACACGCCTTCCTCGGCCTTGATTTGATGGTTGGCTGCACTGCGCAGCCACTTGCCAACCTCGACCTTCATGGCAGCTAGGATTTCATCAGCTACCTTCGTGATGTGCTCCTCTGCCTCTTCTGCCCCAGACTCGTCCTCGCCTGCCTCCATTGGCAGGATGTCACGGTTGTCGTCCACATCGATGACGAGATCCAGGCCGTCGTCTCCGTTGTCACCTGCGGCTTGCATCTCCAGTAGGGATGCTAGGTCCTCACTTGATGCAAGTTGGGAGTTAATCTTCTCATCATACTCTGCCAGGAAGAAAAAGACCAGCGGCTTCACATAAGTTGCCGTATCGACGATTGTCTGGAAAGAGGCCCGCGTCACGGAAAAACCCATGCGTCCGTTCTTCACATGGACCTTGTCCTGACCTGCGAACTCCACAGCAACACAGTGGGGTTTGCCGTCTCTGACGATGTGCATCAAGATCTTGGCACCTGCCTGGGGCATTCAAGTTCAGTTCCCTGGTACACTCGTGCATAATCCGCATAATCTACAGCAAGAGACGTCTGAATTTTACTGGTGACCGATACACGAACACACTTTTGACCGCTGAAGCCTCAGCTCCGTCCAAGCAGAAGCGCGGCGACATCGGCACGTCGCAACCTTGGGATACCTGTTCATAGGTGCGATGCTTTCTTCTTTGGAAGTACAGGTGATGTGGGTGCTCGCGACGGCCTTCCATAGCCAGAGCCTGTTCTCCGAAGCCTAGGTGGTACAAGGCTGCCAGGATACAATTGCCGGCGGCCAAAAGCGGAGCGGGGCAATCCACGGAAGTATGCTCACCGATGTTCTCCAGCATGTGGAACATATCCGGAGGTTGCTTCGGCCGGATGCAAACCTCGAAGCCTGTCTTCTCTTGGATGTGCATAGAGCAAGACTCACAGAATGCACTCACATCAGCTCCCATGATCTTCCTGTCCCACCCGAACACCATCGAAGTGCAGAGATAGATGCTCTGGAGACAAGTCCATAATTTTGTCCAGCCACGCATCCAAAATCTTGTCTTCGACAGCATTCCATAGATATGTCAGGGCCGAGACATCCGGACGATCCTTGCAGGTTAGAAGTCGAGAGTACGCTTCTGGAATGGCGCTGGCTGCTACTCACCGGCAGAAAACAGAAGTTTTCTGCAAATCCACGCAGAACTGATTCTCGGTGTACCCAGCGGGAATTCTGCCCCCGTTGAAGATCTTTTGCATCATCTGCTTGCCTTCAGACATAGTCATCCGCAACTTCTGTTCAATCAGAGCAGAGCGCTCTTGAGCACACTGGCGAAGGACTTCTTTCGCTGTTGGCCACAAGGGATGCTGTGGTTCAAGCTTCACAAGAAGCTGATGCATCAGGACAAAGCTGCAGTTTTCGATGTCCAGATCGACCGTCTCATCGAAGATAGCTGTCTGCAAAACTTGGCTTAAGTCTTGCGCGGCATGACGCTGCCTAGCGTATCTGCGAGTTCTGAACTCCGGCATCTTGTACTCGTACTCAATTTTCAAGATATGTTGTGGCAGACCTTCGAACGGGCATTCGCCAGCAGCTTGCTGCAATTGTCGCTGCGGCTGTACCTCTTCAGGCTTGCCACTCTTGTGTCGTCGACGCCTTTTGGGCGCAGGAGCCGCCGCAGCCGCAGCGCTCGAAGAGATCGGGTCCACGATATCCAGGAGTGCCTTCGCGGCATCTTCTTGGGTCGAAATCTTTTCGTGCAAAGATCGCCACCATCCAAGACTGTCCTCGACCACCTGGCTCTTCCTACCTTTGCCTTTCTCCAGTTTTTTTTATCATCTTCTCGCAGAGACATGCCACCAGATGGAAGGTGACCTTAGATTAGTGTCTTGCGCAGCAACTGTCAACTCATTGCACGCCGCTAAACCTTAGCATAAGTGCTTCTTTGCAATCTTGCCGTAACTAAGAGCTCTGCCTCGCGAGTGGCGTCCTTCTCGATTGCATTCCACAAAGCCACCGCGTTGACTTTTTCCTGTAAAACTAGCTCGTCACGAACTGGACGAGGGTTGCACACTTCGGACATTTGAAGTTTGCATCTGAAGAAAGGAATGCAAACCTGTGGCGGTTCCTTGTTGTCAGCAGGCAGAAGCAGCTTTCTTTTGAGTAAATCATCCCACGCATCCTTGCTAAGACCCAGCTTCGCGGACGCAAACCTGTCCCACCATTTCTTGGTGAAGCTCTGGTTGTTGGCCGGAGAGGTCGGAGACACGGAGTGCTTGCCCCAAGCCAAACCCCACTCAATAACTGTTTGCACTGTCTTCTGCACAGGATCGTCTTCGGCTGTAGGTCTAAGACCACGCAGGACGGTTGCCAATTTGTCTGTCGATCTCTCCGTCGAGACTTCCTGACCATGTACAGCACAGCGCAATCACATGAAGGTACGAAACAACAAGCTCAAAACGCAAAGAAACAACACCCGGGCGCATTACCCCCGGGGCCCTCCCTGCGTGGCCTGACGTGGCTGAAGACCACACGCTTCTTTCATCTTGTGCTCCGTGGGACCAGCTGTTGCACACTCATCGATGACTTTGTAGCATTCCTCTCGCGAATGCTTCGTTTCGAAGCCATGCTGCATTCGCAAGGAAGCTGCGATGGCTGGACCGCTTTCCAAGAAGCTGCGCAAAGTCGGATCTTTGGGAAAGATACCGTCGGATGCAGCATCCGGGTAGTCAGCCAAACAATCTGCATCCACGAACACTGCCTTGGCTATCCAAACAAGACACCTGCGAAGAATTGAGTTGAAATTCCGCTCCTTGACATTGCGGAAATGCATGATCTGATTCGTCTCGATCCTTTTCCAACCCATGACACGGAGCATGCGAGTGATGTAGCCATACGGCCTCCTCGCAGCCAGGTCGTCCGCAGAAACCATTTTCTTGAACAAATCTTGCTGGAAAGTTCGATTAGTTTCCGGCGCCTCCTGCGCGGTGATCATGCAACAATGAGCGAACTGCTCGAGTTGCTTCCGCAGTTCATCCTCGTTGTGGAATAGATTGGAGTCCACGAAGGCGTGGTTTTGACTGTACACAGCGTTCAAGTGGCTGCTGTAGAGTGACTGGCCTGTGCCGCCTGGTGATTCGCCGATGAAACAGCGATCGATGTTGAGACCTCTTTTGGCGAGGGCAACGGCTGCGCAGCACGCTGTAAAGACATGTTCATTACACCAAAAGGTTTCGCTGAAAAACTTCCGCAGTCGGACGGTGGCTGCCTCTAAGCAAGGATCTCCCAAACACAAGGGGTGAGGAACGCGCGCATAGATGTTGTTGCGAGGGTGAGGGTTGACGATGCGCAAGTTCTCTGTCTCCGAAACGTCATATTTGACGCAGCAATCAGCGTAAGCGCACCCGGGCTGCCGCTGCGATGGAGTGTTGCACCACTGCGCCACATATTGCAGAAGCCTCCTTTCCTCCAACAGATCTCTCTGCAAAGGGGCCACGATCTTCGCAATCAGCTGCGCGACGTGTATGGTCCACGAAGGAGAACCCACATCCTGCGCAGCATCCTCATCCTGGACATCTTCTGCCTCTTCTTGGCCTCCCAGCGGGTCGTTTGCTGTTGCCCAAGCACATCACAGCTGCATCTGTGCAATCATCGAAAAGTTCTTCCACATTGTTACGCTGTTGCAACAGGTCTTGGATGTTGTCCAGCAAGCCCTCATCGGACCGGCGAATTGTGCTAGTGTTAAACATTCTGCCAGGAACAGTAACACAGCTAGTGCAGTACAGTTAATGTACAGGAACAGCCGTCACGCACACGCGACGTGCAGGCTCGAGACCCCAGGACACACCGTGCCCAGGAACAAAAGTGTCCGACAGTCTTTGTGGGTAGGAACCCTTAGTGAAGCCCGTTCTTTAACATGGTAGCGGAGCTGCCTCCAGGAACCTCCTTGGCAGCGATGATGCTACTCGTAGCCATAGGAACCATGATGCTCGGCGCCATGGCAGTTTGCCTCGTTGCCGGATGGAAGCAGATGCGCGCAAATGAGCAGATCACCAAGAAGACGGAGACAGTGCTCAACATGCCCACGCTCAGGATCGCAGTCCGTTCAGGAACAAAGTACCACCGCAGAGGTTGTGGACACCTTCGCAACCACAACGTGACAGCAGGAAACGCGCGAGACTTTGACGCTTGCAGCGATTGCTACCCCGACCGAGTGTTGGTGGAAGAGAGAGAGAAAAGGAACATGAAGTGCTACGGTTTGGCAGCATGTATGGTGCTGCTGGTTGGTTTCGCACTGGGAAGCCTCGCAACTTTGTGCGGGATGATCTTGGTCCCAGGAGCAGGAAGTATGGCGGTGAGACCGTGGCAGGCCCTTGGCAACAACGTGGAGACCAAGGAAGAACTTGCCCTTGGAGACGCCTTACCCTCCAAGGATGTGAGCCGTGGGAGAAAGGAACTCACTTACGTGGAGAGCGACGAGAGCGAGCTCATGGTAGTGTGGTCGAGCAGAAGGAAGCCCAATACGCACCGGAACCGCTACAGGAACTACGACGTGTACGGCGAGTACTACCAGCAAGGCTACAACGAGTGCAGCGTGAACCCCGACGGCACCAACGTGAACACGATCAGGAACACGAACGCGTACACGATTAAGGACTATGTGGAGATAGGAAAAGTCATGGTACCGTACGCTTTGTTGTGCATGAACCAAGTGATGAACGAGCTCTACAGCGTCGTTAGCGTGACCGGCGAGTACTACACGGAAGAGAACAGGAACGGCAACCAGAACACCGAGAACCAGGAGAGTGAGAGCCTTGAGTCAGGCTACGCCCCTAGGTACCTAGTAAAACAACAGCGAGAAGTACTGAGGAAATTTGTACAGGAACATGTTCACAGTTTCGTAGAAAAGCTAGCAACTGTAGGAAAGAAGTTTCACGACGTCGTGCATGTGATAGTTCAGGAAGTCATTTCCAACAGAGTTGTATTTCAAGGAATTCGCATAGCAGTGTTCTTAGGAACCCCAATGGGACTGATTACTTGGATCACCCTGTCGTACTATTCTAGTGTGTTTTTCGCAAGAGCAAGCAACCGCTCAAAGCACCAAAGGAAGACAAGAGGAGAAAGGAGAGCACAAGCAGTGTGCAGGAAACAGTGCAAGTCGCTACTTTTAGCAGCACTAGTGTACAGCAACCTTGAAACAGCAAAAGGAATGGAGGATGCATTGAAGGCACTTGCCGAGATCAATGCACAGACCTTACAAGGAATACAAACACTAGCAGAGGAGATCAGGAACTCAGCAGCTTCAGGAAGTCAGAGAGAAGCAGGACTTACACAAGCATTCCAGGAAACCCTGACAGCAGTTCAGGAACAGCAGAAGACAGCGCAAACAGCGTTGGCAGACGCCCACACGAACGCAGCAACGACACTTGAGGAGATAGGAGCATCTCTGGAGAAAGCAGTAAAGGAACAAAGAAAGCCTGGAGAAGTGGAGTTGCACAAGCTGATTAAAAGCCCCGAAGCATTTTCCCCAGGAACATGGCAAGAAGAGAAGAGTGGATGGACAGAGTTCAGGAACAGGATGCGGATCTGGCTTGGAGCAGTGGATTCCAACATGGTGAAGATCATGGACATCGCAGAAAGGAACCTAAAAGATGATAAGCAAGTGAAGATGGCTGAGATGTCTACAGAAGCAAAGGAAACAAGCAGACGCCTGTACAGTGTTCTTTGTTCGTACACTAAAGGAAGGCCGTACCGAGTTGTAAAACATGTAGCTGAGGAGAACGGTATGGAAGCTTACCGTATGCTACTCAAGGAATATCAACCAACGAATCGTGCAAGATCGTTGGAGTTGTTTCACAACATTCTCAACTACAAATTCGCTCACAACAAAGGAATTGCTGAGAATATCCTCGAATATGAGGAACACATCGAGAAGTACGAGAAGGCTACTGGAGAAAAGGTACAGGAGAATTTGAAAGTATCTACTCTTATTCA